CCCCCCCACTTTTTTCCCTCTTTTACTTACAGGTTCTGATGTCAATTTTACCATACAAAATAACCCCAAGCAGACATCAAGTGCTAGCTGAGCAGAATCTAAGATCTAAAAAGCTGTTTGTGCTGGTTCTTTGAAACTCATGAACTTGCAGTCATTTGTTCTCCTCTCAGATAGCCAGAGCACCGTTTCACATGATCTCCATTAAAAGGATTCCTTTCAGAGAAATGCATGGGATGGTGGGACAATGATAAAGGAACTATGCATCCAACACCTTCATAAGCAGTCCATATTATCATGATATAAGGCCTTGAATACTCAGGCATAACCTCTGTCTGAATACAAGCACTATCATAAATCTTGCATGTCAGCCTGTGGGGTTTATGGACTGAATCAAACTCGCAGGATTAAACTACTGTTTTGATGATTAACCTGGGTTCCAATGCTGCTATTTATTATGTTAGGCAAATAACCTATTTTCTGTTTAAATGAGTTTCCATGTTCTTTTCTACACCTGGGAGTTAAGTGAAGCATTAAGAACCAGCTTTTTGCCCATGGATGAAAAAAATGAATGAAAGGAAACAAGAAAGCCATTTTTTGGGATTTTACTAATAATCATTTCAAGAGTATAAATATAGCAGCTTGCCAAGCCTTTGGCCAGCAGAGCAGGGTCTGTGCAATAGCTCAGCTTTATTTTAACCTTTGCAGAATAATTCTTAGGAGACTTGAGGAGAAAGATGGTTTGGTATCTAAAGGCTTGACCTGAGAGTCACAAGAATTCTGAGTTTGCTGCTGCCTGCACAGATCAATGCATTTCTCTCTCTGCTTTTGCTCCTCATATCAGCAGCTAATAAACTCCGGGTAACCAAATCCAGACACTTGTTTGCTGTTCAGGGTGGATGGAGCACGAGTTTGGGGGGGCCTCAAAGCATTAGTGTGAATGTTCATTGATGTGAAACAAAGGAAAAGAACAAAGAAGGAAAAAGGAAAACAAGCGTTTGCTGGATGGTGCACAGCAGGGGTGATTTCCTTGCTCTTTGAGGTGGATGCTCATGTGTTCCTTGCATGTGGCTGCAGTAGGCTGGGAGCTTTGCACTGATGTTTCTTAGCAGTGTCAGGCTGGAGAACACTGCTACTGCCTCAGAAACCAAGTCCAGCACCTCTGAGCAACATGTCTTATATGAAGAAAGAAGATGACAAGTCGGGATTGAAATTCCTCCAGGACTGTGACATCTTGCTTCATGCTGGTGTAGTAGAGACTCACAGCAAGGATCAGCACTGCACAAAACAAGAGCCACAGGAGCACAGGCAGTCCAGATGATGTCCTGTCATCTGCTGAACGGTGATGAGGAGAAAAAAAGAAAGCAGCATTATTTTAGTGCCATCTTAAACGCTTCCCAAATTTGATCCCCTGCTGATGCCTTTGTCCCAGTGTTCTGGCAGCAGCAGGGTACAGAGGGCTCTGGTGGTGAGCAATTCTGCAGGCATCATTTAAGTGATAGTGAGTCACACTTCCTGATGGAAGGTGGTGAGTATGAAAGATATCATCTAATGGAGCATTTAAAGAGTTTAATTACATACAATAAGAACAGGATTAGCATAGCTAATGCATGATCTCAACTTCCCCTCCAGCAATTATTTTTTATACCTTCACCCTAAGTGTTAAGTTGAATGCTAGGAGAATATGAAGCTACTTGGCCTAATTATTTAATGTTCACAAATGCTCCATAAAAGAGCATTTTATGGCTTTCTGTCCTTTTACCTGGTAAGTCAGCTTATTTGGGGCTAATAATGGGAAGAACCCAAACATGGCTCCATTAACCAAGAGGCATGTTCAGAAAGCTCTGGCAGTTTGAACCACCCTCAGAGTGCTATGTGTGCTAATTACACCAGAACATCCTCTGCACTTGCTCTTCAGCAAGAGGATACTGTAAAGATTTTTCCCGCCTTCAAAATATTTTTCAAATGTGTTTAAAGTGATGCAGGTTGGGCACAGCACACATGTGGAAATCAGAGGGCTGCATTCAGCCTGCTGACAGCTGTGTCCCAGTCCCTGCCTGTGTGTACCCATCCCTGGGCCTTGGGGATCCAGTTGGATTCAGCTCTGGCTGCTCTGTCTGCCTGCACGGCCATTGCACAGTCGGCACTATTTCATAAAGCACTTAGAGTATTAAACATGCAGCATAAAGCCAAATTCATGCCTGAATAAAACCCATAGTGTGCAGCTATTTTCCTGCCATATGCACATAATCAATAAGGAGATAAAAATGTGGAGTGTATTATTATGGGTAAAGGGCCAACATTAGCTGTAACATATTTAAATTAGCTTCTACTCCGAGCCCTGGAATACACACCAGTCAATTAAACTGTCATACAGATGTACAGAGAGGAAGGTAAAAGTCATAAAACCAAGCCAGAAACACATAATAATGTATCAAAAAGTGTATGGGGAAAAGGTAAAATGTTAATAGGCAGTCATTTTATAGCTAACCAGAAACCAAATCAATGTCCCATAATAGATCTGAGTGAATTATTTGCAGCAAGTAATTTATTCATTTGAATTTAGCCTTTCTTTCTGTTTTCAAATTATCCATGTGCAGGCTTCAGATTTTATAAATTTGTTTATTTGGCATTATTCTATGAAGGGTTGATATGAAGGTGTTTAGCCAGGGAATTGCTCACCACTTTCTGGTTTTGCAGAGATTTGTGAGCTGGGAGTTGGTGTTTCCCTGGTGAGATTTCCCACACCACAGGCTACAGCTCCTGACTGGGTGCCCCACCTGCCTTTTCCAACGTGGGGCTCGGCTGATGAGCACACATGGGAGCAGGGAAACCTTCCTGTGGAAGCTGAACAGCTTTTCACATCAACCCTTTCATATGAAGTGCTTGTAACCTGTTTCAACTTTCAAAAAGTTACTTTCCATGGAAAATTTCCGGGCGATCTCAAAGGTAAAATTGGGCTTTCCTTCTCTCCTCTCAGTTATGAAATATGTTCTATCCATGAATAGAAGAAAATAATGCAGAAGAGTAATTACACCTGCAAAATTGTGATGAGCTGTGCTCACAACAGCTTCAGCCCATCACTACATTTAGGTGTTGAAAATCAAATTTGCTTTTCTAGATTATAATTAGAAATTTAATGCTTAAATTTGTTAGTTAAATTGCTTGTTGGAAGAGCACAGACCTGTGCCCTGTCTCATGGCAACTCATCTGAGAAAAGCACTGGACCTGAATACAGGAGGTTTTGTCTCAGTTCCTGCCTTTTCCACCGTGCCCTGAAGAATATTTGATCTTTGCTTTTCCCCCAGGCCCTTTTCTGGCTGCAGTACCCTGTTTCTAGCCCAATAACAGCCCTAGATGATGCTTTCATTGTCATGAGCATACAGCCCCTCTTCCTGGACCAGAGCAAAATCTGAGGGATATGGGGACATCTCCCTGAGAGGCTTTTTGGCCTCCCAAAACTACAGCTCTGTGTGTATATATATACACATGTGTATAGGTACCCTCTCCCCTTCACTGCACTCATCTGCTTGGGGGTCTGTGAGGCTGCCAGGCCTCAAAAAAAACAGAAATAACCTGATTATTTTTATTATTTCTACCCTGCTGATAGCATATAAATGAATTGTCTCTTCCCCTCATACGAAACTCAGCAGGGAGAACTATTGTTTAGCTTGGGGTGCTTTCCCTGCATATCTTAGTGAGGAACCTGTACCTATTCTAATGCCATAAAATATATTAATTATATTTAAATTAAAAATAGCTTCAGGGATTTAATTTTTGTTTCCACTATTTGTCTTACTAGATGTCTTGTTTAAAATTGCACCAGACCTCATCAGCACCTTGTGCTGATTATGCTGAGAAGAAAAAGCAGCAACCACTGACAACACAAACTGCTGTGTATATGGAGGGTATATTTGCACAGTGCATCCCACCACCTGCAAAAGCAAACTCAGGTTAATGCTGTGGATGGCTCACAGTTATAATGTGAAAAATTCAACTTACCCACTACGTAGTCACAGCAGGAAATTACTAGAAAACAAAATGAAAATGTTTTTACTTGCCTGGAAAGATCTCTTGGCAGCGGGTGAACAAGAAAAGCCAGAACCCAGCAGTGTCTTGGAAATTGCCTGGCACCTTGGAGATGCTGGGCAACCTCTTACACCACTTTTGGCTCTGGGTGAGGACCTACCCAATCCATGCAAACATGCAGATGCAGGTGCACTTCAGGAAAGTGAGGAAAAATTATTGTGTGTGAGAATTCAGAGGCAGGATTGCTGCTGTCGCAGGGAGGTCAGGAAACAGCTCTGCTAAAACCCATCCCTATTCCACATAATTCCTAGAAAGGAAAGAATTTAGACCAGCAGGCTGAAAGAAGAAGGTCAAGAAAGCACTGTCAGACTAACTTTCATCAACAATATCCTGGAAATGTGTCTTCTGGGCAACCAGGCCCAGACACAATTCAGGATGGAAAGTCCTGGATTGGAAACGGAAAAATTTCAGTGGTGCCAGAAACCTTCATTTTACCAGCCTTAATGTGAGTAATATTGTGTGGACAAACAGCAAATAATCTAAATCACAGACTGCTTGCAACACAGAATACTAGTTATGGGTTTGAACATTTCTCTATGTCTCTATGAACAAGAGTCAGAGTCTTCTCCATGCTTGCAGCTCGCTGCATGAGCTCCAGCGTGCCTTTGCTGAAGCCAGAGCCAGGGGAGACCAGCCTGGCCCCTGGGCTGGGCTGACTGCAGGATTCCCAGTGCTGATGTGGGGCATGGACTCTGGCAGAGGGTTGGGGGAGTTATTAATTCCCATCAGAATCCTGCTCTTGAGCAGTCAGATGAAAGCTTCGAGGAATTTAAGGCTGGCTCACTGAGTCTCTCCAGGAGTTCAGTTTTGGTGGGAAAGCCCAGGCCATGTCAACAAGCTTATCAAGAAACAGCTTCCCCTTCATGCATCCCAAACAATGTTTTGCCAAACAAATGAGAGCTCTGTTTATAGACACAGCAGATGCCAATGCTTATTTTCAGAAGCTGTAGCAGTCCAAACAGGTGGCTGACATAGAAATTTTACCATTCTGCCACCTGTGTTTTGACCAACTGACATATCAAACCCATAAAATTTTAGTTCTCTACCAATAAATACAATTTTCTTGGTTGGATGTGTTTGGGAAAGTCAGAAGGTAACATCCATTATTATTTGGCATGGCATTCAGCACGTGCAGAAGTGCAAACTGGATCCTTGTGCCAGACCTCTGCTGAAGGTCACTCCCAGTTGACCTACTTGCAGTATTTTGGCTCATGAATGAAAAGACCAGAGGTTTTGTTAGCTGTGTCAGTCCTTGGGTGCCTTTGTTGGCAGAAGTTATCACATCCTGGCTGCTAGGCTCAGACCTCTGCTGCTGTATTCTGTGGCATGCTGGTTACCCACAGTGACATAATTATGTTTAAATTTGTTCCGAGTGGAAACCTTGCTCTGGGGAAGCCCTGGGGCCCAGCCAGGCCCAGGGTGTACAATGTCCCCTGTGGGGGCTGACCCAGGAGTCACTGTGACAGCAGCTGAGCGTGAGGCAGGAGCCTGTGTCCTCCCAGGGCAGCCAGGCACATGGACCAGAGCAGTTCTGCAGAGCACAGAGCAAACATCATCCATCCTCTGCTCCGTGCTGAGCTGGAAACCACAAATTACCAGAGGGGGAAGCTGATGTGGACAGACAGAGTGGATGTTAAAAGCTGGAAAGGTCACGCCAAAATTCCTGATTGCTTGAGCATACCATGTTCAATGACTTCTTCTGGCTCACGAAATCGAACCCTTCGCTCCGCTCTCCGCTTTTCCCCCACAGCTTGGTCCACAGGTGGCCTTTTCCTCAGTATGGAAGGAGGAGATCTGCTGTCATCTGGCTAAAGAGTTGATCAAAACACAGAACACGTGACCATTCAAGCAGGGTGAAGAATCTGGGTGAACTTTTGATCTTTAGCGGATGTGTTACCGTGTCCCTCGAAGGAAAATGTAACACCTCTGCTTGGACATAGCCAGACCACTGTAATATTTACAGCCAAACAAAAGGGATATTCCTATATTGCCATTCATCTGCAGTACTCTAAAGCTGTATTCTCAGGGAAAAGGATAGGTAAAGCAACGGACAGCAAAATGTTCAGAAAGGATTTCTCTAAATTGTAACAAATATTTGCTGAAGGTGGCTGCTCAGCAGCCTTGGGCTGTTCTTAGAAGAACATAAATGTGATATGAAATATATGAACCATATCATTTGGAGCACCTTTGAAATGTTCTGAGCTAAGCAGTTCCATTCAGAATGCAGCATTATCGTTTCAGCAACAGGGACTGTGCAGCTGATTTGGGTTTGGGCACTCCTGATGGCTACAAGAAGGTAATTTATTTGCATTTCAATATAACAATTATGCTGTTGCTCTGGTTTTTGCTTGGAAACCACATTTAGTCTTTGACAACACAATCATAATGCTGTGGATTCTTTGAAATTACAAGAAACAGAGCTTCAATAACATTAATAACTCACTGTTCTGCATGGGAGTGCTCCCACAGTCAACTGCCCAAAGTGAATCCAAAGAACCTTGATTCAGACACCCACTGTCCTCTGGCAGTAGAGAGCTGATAGCAATTTTTCTGCTTTTCAAAGTGAGGAGTAGAGATTCTTAATGATTTATTTTTAAGACTGAAGTAATCTTCTCTAGCCCTTTCCATCTCTCCCCTCTGTTCCTCTGCTAGATAATTATTTCTTCTGGATTTCTCTCTGCTCCCTTTCCCCCGCCTTGTTTGTTGTTCCCCCACTCAGTGATTGCATGCTCCTTACTTCAGTTCTGCTCCTTGCTTTAATCTTTCTACTCCTCAAATATCTACTTTTATCCTTTTTTTAGACCCAGATGCTATTGCCTTGCCTTCTTGTTGGATGCTTTCCCCATGCTCACCATTTCACACATCCACTCCTTGGGCTGCAGAAGCAGGATTAGGTCCCACTGACTGCAATCTGGGGATGTCAGACCCCAGAGTAAATGGGATAAATAGGTTTTCTTACACATCACATTCTGGATAACCTCAAAAGACATATTATATAGCCATCAGGAACTGCCATGGGGTGAGGAATGTCTTCAGCTTTGATTCCTTCTCCTGAGAGATTCATAAAACCAATCTCATCACTGCTAAGGATGCTTTCTCTGATCCTGGGGTCATATCACCTCTGTCTCATGACTGGGGACAGTGTGTGTTGGAGCTCTGTGTTTTTCATTCATCAGCTAAGAAGCCAGAAGCCCCGTTCAGGTTATGGAAAACCTGGATTTCACTTATTTCTGGGTCCAAAGAAATACAAAGCTATGTCTTATATACACACCCTCATCATCAGGGTTATGGTGCACACACAGGAGCAGGGAATCTCAGTCTCTGCCACTGGAGCTGTCTTGTTTGGCCCTGAATAATTAAATATTCATTGAGCTAAAGAAAGAAAGAAAGAATGACTTTACAGCCTCGTGTTTGGGTGCTCCCTTGGGGGTGGCAGAAGTCTGCTCCTATCCTTGCTCCAATGAATACTTAATATGTAATACTTAAATATTCATTGGAGCGGTCACTGGGAGCAGGGTCTCTCATCTACCAGGTGAATACCCCAATCCCTCTGCAACAGCCACACACACACTTACTCACATAATGAATATTTGATTCTTCTGTGTAAAATGAAACAGGTTTAGGGAGACACAGCCTAGCTCAGGCTAGGGGTGGTTGTAGCTATAAGGGCTTCTCCTGTGGCATGACTAAGGAAACTGAACCTTATGTTTGAAGAGATTTATAACTCCAAGTGCAGCTGTTGCCCATATGAGCATTTCCAAACACTTAGCAGTGACATCACATCAGAAGAGAAAAACATGAAACAGCTTGCTTGTTGGATAGCACCTAGCCAAGGAAGACCTTAAAAAGGAAGTGATTTCATGATATTCACTAGCCTTTAATAGCTTACAGAAATCAAAGCTACGCATCGTCAGAACAAACAAAACACTGTCCCCTCAGACAGAAATCTGGTGTTAGCATAGTGTCACAAGAGCTGGAAACCTACCAAAGTGATAGTTGGGAAATTGCATGACCCTAAAAGCAACCCATTTGTAACAAGCTCCAGGCACTGGACACAGGGACTTCATCACCCATGGGAAGATTACTTACCTGCAGCTCTTTGGCACTAGGATCAGAAAGTGAGGCTGGACATATCTGGGACATGTACTCTGGATGCCAACATGAAGCCTCCCACATGAAGCTTTGGATGGAAAGCCTCTTGCCCAGAAACTGAGAAGGACCAGGGAAAAGCGTCCGGAGACCCCTGAGCAGCGGGGACGGAGCCGGCAGCGGCACCACGCAGGCGGGAGCGGCCGCGGAGGACAAGGAGTGCAGAGAAGAGTTTGTGTCCTTTGTACCAGGGCTGGCGTGGGAAGGATGAGATGTACTCAGGAGCCAAAAATAGCACCCAGTGATAATACTGCCTGTGCAGCTGGAAGCAGGGCTGTCCTGGCAGCGGGAGAGGGCCTGAATGGAGCAAGTCACAGATAAACACCTACGTGTTTGCTTTGTCTGAATGTGAATTTGGGGGTGGTTTTTTGGATAGCAATTGCTGCATTTCTGCGATCATGTTGGTTTCCTTTCCAGAATCCATTCCCAATCACAAAAATCTTGCAAGTGGGATTGCTTTTAATCCTTCTTCCGTTCAAAATATGTGGGTAAAGTCACCAGCAAATTACAGAAATATAGTGGGATGACAGATATCTCCCTCCAGAACAGTTATGGCCTCACTTTATATGTTTTACAAATTAAATCCATTATTATAGTAATAAAGTGGGATTTAAACATTTGACGTCTCTACTCATATTATAATAAGATTATTGATAGAAAGAGAGGTGATTTACTGTTCAAGAGGCTTTAACAGTCCCTTGTCAAATGCTGAAGGCTGGCCATCATCAAATATACAATCTTTAGTTAGAAATACCTGCCATGATTGCTGAAATATACTGGTTTGTTGTCCCTGCAAGCACAACCTTGTGCCTTTTGTTGTTGTTGTTGTTGTTGTTGTTGTTGTTGTTGTTCTTTTCCTGGAGCTATTTATTTGCAGTGCCATGTGTAATGTACATGGTTTGGTTTTATAGCAGGTGGTTGGATGGATATTTCCATGTCATGTTCAGGCTGGCCCTTGCTCTGCAGTGCAGAGAGGGTGGCAAGATGCTCATACAGGCTCTGGGAACCAGAGGGCACAGCTGCTCAGTGGGCTTCACTACTTACTCCCTTCCTTTCAGGGATATGGGGAATGGGTGAGTAGATGGAAAGGTTTGGGATCCTCCCCCAGAGAAAACTGGGCCAGAGCAGCAGAGGAGGCTTCTGTGGCTGATGTGGGGTCAGCAGACCCCTCAGGACTTGCTGCCTCTTGCAGCTCAGCCTCTGCATGGGTGTACTGTCCTCAAGCCTGCCCTCAGTGACATAGCATCCATGTGGACAAGAATAGATTTGGCTGGTCTAGGGCTCTCCACTGAATGCACTGTATCTAAATGCCCCCTGAAGAAAATTACCTTACCTTCTCTTTCCTGTGCATTGGGGTGATGGAGGGCTTTTCCTCATGCTGAAACCAGCTCACAGCAGCAGGCCTTGTGAAATGCTTCCAAAATCTCCTCTCTGCTGTGTCCTGCAAGTGTTCCACAGAGGTTATTTCAGGAAACCTAGGATGGCTTTTGGTGGGGAAAAGACAGTCTTTAAGATTTTGTTCATAGTAGATCCTAGAGAGAAAGGTGTCAAAACCTGTGAAACCATGGTCCCTGGCTTCTCTGGCCCCTCCTTCCTCCTGTTGTGATAATCACTACAATTCATGTAAAAGGAATTTATCTGCCTGCTTTGGCCAGAAAAACTGATGAAAGTGGGATTAGGGAACTCAAACTCTAGTCCTCATCTAGTTTTGATTTTTCCGTGGGAATTGTCTCGTTTGTTTTTATTAGTGTCACCCAGCAAGGCACGTAAGAAGGTCTTGTGCAGCCTCTTATTCCTGCAGAGTGGGGCAATGCATTTGTCAGCTCTAAGACCCGAAGGAAAAACCTTGTCCATGTCTTTTTCACTGAACCTGGCTTTGTTCAAAGGAAGATTTTACAGTTTTCTAAGTATTTGGTCAAAGATATTTTGGTAATTTAAAAAAAAAAATCAAAAACCCACCAGTGCAGAAGTTGATGGGATTTGTTGTATCCAAGAAACTGACATATGGAGACAACATTTATAATTTTTCATGCCAGAAACCATTTCTTTTCAGTTCTAGATTCCCCTTAAATGTAAACTTTTTTTTTGTTCATTTAATTGAAAAATAATTGGGCAGCTTATAAATGTTTTCATGAAAGATTGCTATCGAAATGCCAGGGATGATAATTTCATAGCGGCATTCTCACTTTTATCTCAAGAAGTGCTAATTATATTGATGGTAATGGTTGTAAATGCTTGAATAATTAGTAGTTACCTGGGCACTCAAGTTTCAGTGGGTAAAGATGTCAGGAGTTCAAATCTCATGACAGGGACAGTTCCATTCCTACTAAGTGCTTTTGATTGTAGTTTAACAACCTAAAATTGAATATATGTTAGGAATAAAACACAGTCCAATGCTTAAAGTAAAAGAATACAGGAAAATAACTTCTCTAGCCTCTGAAATCACTGGTAATAATAGTTACTATAGTGGGATGATTTCTGCATTAGAAGCTGTAAGAATTTCCTTTAATATTGCCTTTCTTTTTAAAGTAATTTTTCATCTAAGATTTGATCTCATTTCATGCAAAGTACATCAGAAACAAAGCTGGACAAATAATTCATAAATGAATTATTTAGCTTGTGAGTGTCACCTCTATTTCTTTCAGCTAATTGTTCACAAATAGATAGTGACTTTTCGCAATGTATTCATTATTCAGATTTATTCAGTGGATAATTGCTGGGAGTAATTCTTTGTCTGTAGATTGCTTGGAATCATTTTGCTGTGAACATTTAATAGTAAAAATCTATCCAGGCTTTCAATAAAAGACAAACTAAAATTATCTATAACTACTGATGTAGCCCTTAAACATGAACAATATAATGCAGTCTTAAAGAGCAACACCAACATTTTCATCAAGAAAGCCACTACTTCCCATGCTACATAGGAGAGAAAGCAAAAACATTTCAACTCTCTGTGTAGCACTGACACTGAATGGTGCACATTGTATATGCAGATAAGTTTTTACAAGAAAAGGGTTGCTTAAGTGTTTGCTCAGCAGAAAAACAAAACATGCCTAAACAAAACATGATTGACTTCCCAGAGAATAAATATGAACGGTCCACACAAAGGAATTAACTGCACAGCCAGTATTTTTTCTGCAATACCTCAGTGGAAGATGTCTAGGAAATAAACATAACATGATAAAACAATTTTACACTCAGAGGATAGCCGTGTAACCATATGAACTCTTTTCCATTTCCTTCTGTGGGAATAAATATTTTAGACAAGCAAAGTACTTTGTAAATGATGCCTTTGTGGGGATTCGTCTGGCCTGGTTCAATTATTCTGAAACCTAGCAATTTTCTCATATCATTGAATCTGCTTTTATTGCAAATAGGGTCATAGAAATAGTCACTCATTGCAATAATGGACTTCGTTTATCTTAACTATTAACACTTCCAGTAGGTTTACACACACACACACACACGTATATATTCAATATTTATAGATATGCACAGTGCATATATATTAATAATGAAGTAACTTTATCTCAAACAATCTGAAAACAAAATCACGTAATACCATACAGTGTGGGGTGCAGTGGTAACTGGAAGCAGCATATCAGGATAACAGAACAGAAAAGGAATAAATAAATTAGAGGGGAGTCTTCCATATCTTCCTCAACTTCCAGAGTGTCAATTGAGCCTTTGTTCAGTATTCCACCTTTCGCGGTTCTGTGTACTCTTGATTAATAATTTAGAGATGCACCTTTTGGAAGCAGGGTAAGTTTTGTGTTTGCCAAGAGTGATTTTCCACTAGTCAGGGAGTACATCAGGAAATAAAACAGCAAATTGCCCCACAGAGTAAAATTAGCTGTTGCCTTCTTCCTTTTTCAGACTCTGGAGAAACAGATTTACTGCTGAGAGTTCTGGGACACCCATGAGATGTCATACAGCACCATTTCTTCTCCTCAACCTTCCAGTAAAGAAAGCACTGTGTAAATCCCAGCCTCAAGACAAAACTCAGCTCTTCGGACTGCATGTTTCCATTCCACATCCAGAAGGATCATGATTAATCTGTTGTCTGGTGATCAATCAAAAATGAGGCTTTTTCGTGGAGTTGGTGAAAAAAAAAAAGACCAACAGCAAAGCATAATGGAAACAGAGCACTGAATGGGAAGATGATCTGGTAACACTTGGTGTGTGTAGCCAGCCAGGATGAAAGCAATCAGTTTTCCTTCCTGTATATCTGTTAGTTCCTGTGGTGGCCAGGGAGTGTATCCAGGTGTGTTTTCCCCAAGGAAGTGCAATTGTGATCAGTGCAAAGTGCAGCACCAACAACCCCTGTGTGCTCCATGAAGGACCCACAGAGTTACCATCCCAGTGGGGCCTCTTTGCCCTTTAGTTGTTACTGCTCTGTGCTGGAGGCTTTCATGGTCACACAGATCTGTAAGCACCCCTTTGGTGCAGGTGGGCAGACCTGGGCCATTCACCCAAGACCTGTGGGACTGGATTGCTAACCTTTGTAAAAATTAGATTGGGGTGGTGTTGCTGCATGCGACCATCCGATCCATCACAGCAGAACTCACTTCTGAAGGCAGTCATGGCACTATTTGTAGATGTAGCATCTCAGGATGGCTTTGGTTGGAAAAGATCTTTAAGGTCAGTGAGTCCAAGTGTCAACCCAGCACTGCCAAGGCCACCACTAAACCACATCCCCAAGTGCCACATCTAAATGTCTTTTAAATACATTCAGGGACCGTGACCCAACAGCTTTCCTGGGAAATCTGTTCCAGTGCTTGACAACCCTTTTGGTGAAGAAATTTTTCCTTATATCCAATCTAAACCTCCCCAGGTACAATCTGAGGCCTTTTCCTCTTGCTCTATTTCTTGGGAGAAGAGGCCAACACCCCCATCTACAATCTTTTTCCAGGTGGTTGTTGGGAGTGAGACGGTTTCCCCTGAGCCTAATTTTCTCCAGTCAAAACTGAAGCTGCTTCCTCAGCTGCTTCTCATAAGTCTTGTGCTCCAGACCCTTCCTCAGCTCAATTCCCCTTCTCTGGACCTACTCCAGCACCTCAATATCTTACTTGTAGTGAGTGGCCTAAAACTGAAAACCAGACTCAAGGTGCAGCCCTACCAGTGCTGAGTACAGAGGGACCATGTAGCAAATTCTTCAAAGTGATGACCATGTTCCTGGAGCTGTGGCACCAGTTTAAAATCCACATTGTGCACAGGTTTTTCCTGGTTTTAAACCGGGCTCTTTTCTAACATAAAGATAGAAGCATGGAACAGAGTGTTGCAGAGTTTTGCATGATGGTGAGAACATCCCTGCACAGGGCACAGCAAGCTCTGCTCTATTTGGACTAACTGGAAGTGATTTAACTCTGTTGAGGAATTTGGTCTCAATTTATTCCTGGCATGAGTTCATTGACTTATAAAAGGCATGGATCTGTATCCATTTCTTAAAATTACCTCTCTTATTCATGTGTCTTTCCGGGTAGACGTTACAAATAACCACAGAGGACTTGTGATGATATATAGTAAACATAGAGAGAATTTCTGGCTGCTGAAATGAACTTTCTAAATAATTACAGAATGATTCCACATCCATTTCATAATTAGACTCCTGAGATTGCAGCCAAGCTATTATTTGTGATTCAACATGCATTTTTCTTTTAGAAATGTCCCACTGCCATTAAGTTTATTCCACCCGAGACTTTCTAATTTGTTCTGATCATCCTGTCACTGGGGCCCAAAATGTAAAATATGTATTGATCAAATAAGAGTTACCAAGGAACCAAATGCTAATATCTGTTGTTGGCTCACTGATTCCAAATCAGTCAGTCCTGTTGAAGTGGGATGTGGGAGATGGACAGGGCTGGAGCGAGTGAGGTCATTCTGAGGCAGCTTTTGTTACGCACTCATTGTATTTCAGGAACAAAAACTAGTGGAACTGTAACTTCTGCCCACAGCATTTGGGCTGCTGTTGATGGCAGGGCTGCCATCAGCCATGAGGTGAATTTGGAGAAAGCCACTGCCAGCAGGAGGACATCTGAGCTGCCATAAAAGAGAAAAAGCATGCAAAGAAAACGCCTTAGAAGTAGGGAAAGTAGAATTATCTTCAGGAGTTCTATTTTAGCAGTAATCACTCTGTGCTTGATGTTGTGTTCATTGGGGCTTCCTGCCCACGTTCCTTGGTGAGCTTTGACCTGAGGAGAAATCCAGCTAGGATGACTGCAGTTTACAGCCTCAAAAGTGGATTAGTGGTTTTGTCTTAATCCCAGGTATCAAAAGACTCCAAATTACTTCTGTGAGCCACTGTGCCTCTCCGAAAAAGGATTTTAGAAGCCTGGCAGCCATTAATGCCAAACTGGCCCTGAGAGGGGCAACAAGCAGGGCTGACAGCAGTGGGAAGGGAAGGAGCCAAGGGAGTCACAAAGCACCAAGGCAACTACACAACATGATTTGAGGGCACTGATGTAAATGCACTTGATATCCATTTGTAGTGTCACCTTGGAAGAGGATTAGATTAGATTAATGACATGAAAGAACAGAAAAATGGAGAAAAGAGCAGATTGAAGTGTAATAAAAGCCCAAATGAGTACAAAACCCCCATGAATTGGAAAGCATTTGGATGATGATATTGGATGATAAAGATTATAAAAAGAAAGTGGCAAATCCCTCAGTCATTGGCAGCTGATTTACATTAATGTTAAGTCTATTAATGATGATATTTGTTTTTCTAATTAGTATGTAAGTCTCTCTCCTCCACCTCTCCAAGCCCTGGAGACTGGTGATTTCAGAGAAAAACAAATAGGTTTAACAAAAAGTAATTGGTACAATTTTCAAAACTGGCTGAGAGCTTTTGGAGCTTATATTCAATTTCATCTCAGTTTAAGCTGAGGAAAAGAAAATAAGCAAGGGAAAATTCAGGCAGAACATCAAAGTACACTTGTTGGCATCAGGCTATACAGATAAATCAGGTTGAAAGCCAGTTATGTTTTGCAGAGGCAAGCTGAATATTTAAGTTGTGCTTTCATCCCAAAGCAGAGCATCCTTTGGCATTCCTGCAAGAGATTGTAGCATCCTGCTCACACCAAGACAAGTTGTGTCTTACAATGGGGTAGCTGAGAGTAGGTTGTGCTTTGAGAGAAGAGTGGGAAAACACGGTCTGGCTTTGACCCCTGGCAGGTTTGAATCAGAACCTTCGAGTGCAATGCCCCTAAGATGCAGCTTCTTATTAGCTGCCTGCTAACAGCTCAGCTGCGTCTCTTTCTCCCCCATTCTCTCCTTCATTCTTATCAGAAATTTGGTCCAGGACCAGGAAACCTCTCAGCTTAAATTAATATGCTAGTCAGAATCATCTCTGCCTCAACAAATGCATTTTTTTCTGATGGTGGAGCATTTTCATCGGTATATTTTTCATCATCTCAAATGTAAGAGCCTTTCAATCAGTCTCCTCAATGAAACAATAAAAATTACTTTGCCTTTTTTTAAAAGGCAGAGAAATGCAAAGGCAAGGAATGAAGCTTCATGGGACTGATGTGGAGGTGCTGAAATAATAGTGTCTGAAGGGAGAAGCATGGAAGCTGAGCTCTTGGTCTGTTATGTGATTCTGACTGCATGGCTGTTCCCTGACAAAGACAAAACTTTTGGGTACACTGAGCTGGTGCAGTGTCTTGCATTCTCTCTTTCATGCATTATATCCACTCCAGCAAGTGTTTCTGGTAGAAGTTTTGAGACTGGTGTGTTCCTATAGTTAGCATTTCCTCCTATGTTTGGAAATCTGGGAAAATATTAAATTCTTTCTGGAGCATACTGGGCTAAAAGGCTCTTTGCAACTCTAAAGTGAAGATGATGGAAAAGTGACACCACCACTCTTCCTTCTCAGAAGTTCTCTCCTGCCTTTGAGACACCTCTGTAGATCTGAAATATATTTTCCTGACACTCCTTCTTTAGGCAAGGTTTGTTACTTGCTGTGTGGATAATGCCAGAACTGGGAAATACTGTCAACTTCTTCAATGGTACATTTGACAGCCCAAATCAAAAGGTTCTTAGCAAGGGATGCTCCAGGAGCCTCCACTCTGTCATGTCTTTCAGGAGGATCCAGTGTGAGCCAGAATCAGTGTCAGAGATTTAGACTAAGAAGTGCCAGGTTAATCAAAGCTGTTGGGTTTGCTCTCTTCTGTGCTCTCCATTGTCATTTCAGAAAGGAGACCTTCAGCTCCATTGCCTTTACCAAACACAAATCAAATAACTGCAAAGCAGCAAAATGACACTCCTTTTTTTTTTTTTTTTTTTTTTTTTTTTTTTTTTTTTTAATTTTTTTTTTCCTGGGAATATGAAACATAAATGAAAAATACAGAGGAGGAAAAAGGGAATTCTGAGAATTTCGAGCAGGTGGCATTGGTAGCTGTCACCTTTACTTGTCAGTTCAGAGTTTGATTTTGGGGCAGCATGTGGTGGAAATGGGCTGGCACTGGAGGGAAGAAGTTAGTGCTCCATGTAGCAAACACCTCACAGAACTCCAAGCTATGTGCTTATCTCTTTTACAAAACCAAAGCTGAAAATGTTTTGGGATGATTTCTTCTAAATCTTGGCACTACTCCAGCTCATGCAGTGGTAGTTCTGGCCTTTCTATCTGAAATCTTTATTTGTTCCCCAAAAAGTAAAGTAGCTGCTCAAGGATGGATATATAGAACTTTGTAAACTCAGATACTTGTCAAAATCTTTTATTGCAAAACATACTCATCTGAATCATGATCCATTCATTCCAGGTACTTTATCTGAGCAAAACAGAGTTTAATTCCCAGGTTTTGGTAAATCATTAGGAAGGGAACATGGAGCTTTCCTGATACACACCACGTTAAGCAGATCAAACCTCCTTTCTGGAGGTAAAATGGGTTGTTTGGGATTTGAAATGTTGATAATCTTCTTTTCAACATTCATGAAAAAATGTGCTCTAGGGAAAGCGATTACCACATTGCTTTTATACTGAAAAATTCTAAAAAGTCTGGTGAGTTATTTTATAGCAGCTCCTAATAAGAGTTACTATTGTCCATAAATAATGTGCTCAATTTCATCAGCCTTGTTTAAGACCAGAGCTGTACAAGAGCTGCAGACGCTGGCAAAGAGACTGTTCCTACCCTGCAGTCTGTATAAACTGAAGGAGCAATGCCGCTTTACACCAGCACAAAGATCTGGCCCACACTTTTCAGAGAGGCTGAATATAGAACACAAGGGAAAAAAGCCAAGAAGCTGCAGTGTTTTGACAGGAACAGGTTAAGCAGTTTAACGACAGAGGCTCTCTCCACACTGGCCTGTGCAGCCTAGAACACACAACCTTTTTTAGACGTACCTGTTGGTCACGATGAAAAATGTAGGCAGCATCTCACACTGACATGTCTGGCTTGGGAGGCCTGCTCAGAAAAATCCCTCATCAGGGCAGCAGCTGTCTTCTTCCCCAGGGCAAATTCCTTTAAAGCTGTCAAAGATGCTGTAATCAGACTAGGTCATCAAAACCGGTCCTCCTGAGGACTGGAAATAAGATCCAGAGATGAGCATTCAGCTACATGGGCAAGGTCTAAAACACTAAAGTTTCCATTGAAATTAAATGAAGAGACTGTAATTGCTGTGAAAGAAAAGAGAAGCAATCATTGGGAGAGCCCTGAAGCTTTCAGAGCACCTCCTGAAACGATGCTTGCTGGGAAGCAGGGATCTGTGTACTGAATAACAGAATCTGATAACTGAGCACAGCTTCTACAGAGAAAACAACTTTGATAACTGCTGGAGCATTTGACTCTGTGGCTCCTGGAGAGGCAAATTTTAATTGAGATTTCACCACACAGCTGAGTAGTTTTATTACCAAGTTAAATAAAAAAAGGTTAATAAAGTAATAAAAATGGATTCTTTGCATTCTTGACTTCAAAACACAGATCTGTGGTCAATATGCTTAATAATTTGTAAATAGAGTGAAATAAAGCACAAATAGCCATGGTGACCATGGAGAGGGGACTGCTGTGAGCTTTTACCCTCCCTTTCACTTTTGCTTGCATTAGCAGCATTTCAGTTTCCATAAATAAGGTAAGGTAAAGCAAATGAACTGAGTTCCTCTCTGTGCAATGTTTACTGCTGTTACTGGAGTTATGTCTGGGACAAATTTGACATGGATTTGACTAAACCCTATCTTGGATAAAATAAAAAGCTATCAGTGTACTTGATTTTAGCTGTATTTATTGTAAATTATTTACAGTGTCTCTGATTTTAAGTGATTGATCCCTGCCTGAGGAATAGTATCAGAGTAAACAGATAAAAACTTGTCCTTTATGCTTCCGTAGTGCTCTGGCGTTATACCAGATACGTCTGCCAGCCCTTTCCTACTTTTTAAATTTAAAAAAAAATCACCACCATACATGATGTGTTTGCATTACTACAGAAAAAAAACGGGAAATAAACAACCTCTCTCCTAAGCAGGAATAGCTGGGGGAAATCACTGACTGAGCTACCCATGGGGAAGCAGGCAGTGCCTTGGCTGCTGTGGTGGCACGGGAATGGGAATGGGGAGCTGCAGGAGCTGAAGTAATTAACAGGAGGAATCCCAAGAGAAGGGGAGAAAGAAAATGGAGGTAATATGCTCCACTGGAGCTTGTGAAAAAAGATAGTTGGAGGAGAGGTTGCTGAAGCACAGGAGAGGTGGAGGCGTGTCAGGGAGGCATGAGGATCTCTGAGACAGAAGACCTGGAACAGCAAGGCACAGGCAGTCCCAGGCGGTGGACTGAGAGTGATATCGAGGAATCCATTTCCCATTTCTGATTGCTGTATTGGTCAAAGTGCCCAAGAATATGCTATGCTTCTGTGCTGATTTTTCCATCTGTCTGCATGGGAAACAGAGGCACCAGGTTGCAAAGTGACTCGTCTCTCATAAATGCAAGAGCAGAGCTGAGTGCTGGGGTCAGCTCACTGCTCATCCCCCCTCCTAAAACTCCCCTGCTACCAGGGGCAGGTGACTGCTCTGAGACACTTCAAGCAAAGGTTTCTGCAGGCTGTGCAGCTCGCAACTATCCAGGGAAAGCATCCTAGGAATAATCAGATCATAAAACCTGTGGGAAATGCTGCTATAAATCCTGTAACACTGAAGAGCAGCCCTGTGAAAGTTTTGCGGTGAGGCAGAGCAGAGTGTGCAGCAGGCAGCAAAGAGGAGTAGTGCAGTAGATATAAAGCCATGTACTTGCCTGAGCACCCACCAAAGGCTCTGTGTGAGTGAGCAGCAGGGCTTCCTCAGCTGTTTATCCTGCTGAAGGATATTTAACCACCCAGTCAACTGGCTAGAGCTCAGCTGGAAACACACAGTGCCAAAAGCACAAGAGATGGAGCCAGTGCAATAAACACAAGGCTGCCTTGATTTTTTTTTTCCCTGTCTAATTATATATCTATGTTCAGTGTTCTTGGGACTGAATTATAACCTTAAATTTGTTTTTCCTTCCTCAAAGGCTTTGTCCCTGAGTTAAGCGACCAAGAACAAAACAAGTGTCTTTACTCTGCAATCTCCCTGTCGCATTATTCCCGTATCGAACCTGGCAGCTTCCAGCCCTCCCAACACTATAATTAGAGCATCTCCAGCCATTGAAATAGCCCTGACCCTCACCACAGTGCTGACCTGCCTGCTTTGCAGCTCTCATCTGTCACGCACAGCAGCTCCTTCCCCACACAAAGCGAGTGCGTGGAGGGGACAGGGATTTTGCACTTTGGCTGTGCCTGGCCAGCACCCTGAGCCTGCACATCATCCTGCACACCCTGCCCTGTGTTAGGGGAAGCTGACTGTGCCCCAGTTTGCCACTGAAATGGGGGAGCTGGAGGAATTAAATTTGATATTTGACATCTCTTCAACCAGGCTGCTTCTTGAATTAGTGCATGAAATTCAGCTCTTCTGTCAACATTTCATTCTTGTTTGATATATAGGAACATGCAAGCAGGCTGTGGCTGGCTGTACAGACTGCTGATTTAAGGAGAGCTGAGACCTGAGGATCAATTAACACAGGCTGGTTTTCTTCAGTCTGTTCTGTTTGTTTGGCTTCCAGCTCCATACTCCCCTCACTGAGTGCTGGGAAGCCTCCATCACCAGCCAGACTCCCTGCAAGGTCTGGGATAAGAGGAAAGAGCAGAGGGTTTCCCCATCGAGCAAGGATTGCCATCTTGTGCGTGGATGGGCTAAATTTGCCCTCAATCTGCTTTCTACAGGGGGCATTCCAAGTGCTCTCAGTATTTTGCTGAGTTTCATTTAGAGGCATTTATCCTCCTTAGCAAATGGAATAACCAGCCAGGAGAGGTGCAGGCAGTCACAGAGAGCACCATGCTCATCCCATTCCAAGAGCTCTAAAACAGATGAGCTGATAACCCCTGCCCTGGCCTAGGGGGGAGCTAAGAGCTTTCTGCAGGGAGCCACGATGCCTACCTTAGGTCAGATATCTGTGTTTTATGTAGCTGGGAACACACAGGGGCTGGGTTCCACTCTGAGTGGGAATGGGCTAGAGCAGGAGACAGTGTCAGTGGTTTCACTGCTGGGCACACACCGGGTTCAGCTGCCTTGGGAACTGCAGGCTGCGAGGGTTCAAGTGCTCTGTCTGAAATGGCCAGGACTTCTGCATATTTCCCGAAATTCTTATCCCAAACGCGTTCTCATGCCTTAAGCACAGCACCCCCTTCCTTTCTCTCCTGCCTCTTTCCATGCTCTCCAGCATAAAGTGGAAAAGATGCAAAAAGAAAGTTCAGCTCCACTTCATATCAGCTGACTGGCAAATCCTTGCTCATCTGGATGTAGGATTTCTCCCACCCCAGGAAACACTTTCTCTCACTAACTGCAAAGTCAGGATTCAGCTGCTCAGATATCTGCTGCCATGCAGGTGCCCCATGGCTCAGAGCATCACCCCCGGCCCCCACTGCAGTCAAGGGAGACAAACAAGTGCTTTTAGGGGCAATTCATCCACAGTAATTAAAACCCCTAAAATAAATAAGCTGTGGGTGAATCCTATCCTGCAGGTGCCTTTTCCTCTCTCCACAGCAGGGAGGACTGGCTCTGACAATGATGTCTCCATCCAGAATGGTGGATCAGACCTGCCCTGCACTAAGGCAGAGAAAATTGCTTTTTCTGAAGGCCAGAATGACATTTTAATACATATTGCTTGAGGCAGGGGAGGGGGAGATCTCTCTGGGGTGACCTTGCACTGAATGTGAGTTCTCTCTGGTGAGTTTTCTGGGCTGCAAGGGGAAAGGCAAGGAGGGGTTACCAAAGGGAAAACTGACCCCATACTGAAGCCTCAGTGCAGAACTACCCAGGTGAGCATGTCCCTGCACCAGAACCTCTTCCTGTTTCAATCTCTCTGCTACTGTGTTTCAGAGAGTTAATTTTAAATGTAAACCAAGGCTTTCCACTCTGTTCTGAAGTCTCTCTTTGTCAGAACACTACTTAGATTTTCTTTTACTTTCATGGGAGGTTTGCATTTTCATGTATGCCAGCAGTGCACGGAACCGACATCTGAGTGGGTGAAGTGGAATTTTGATTTATTGGAGCAGAGTGCATTATCAGTAAATTCAAGAGACTAAATCTGCCATGGAGAGGACTTCTTTTGTTTCCATCATCAAGTCAGGCATTATATCCTGTCAAACATCCCAGGGGGAACTTTTGCTCCAGGCACCAGAGGTAATAACTCAGCTCAGAAATGTATGCTGTATGCTGAACCCTTCATCTTACCAAGCATTCAGCTCTTGTTCAAATGCAAGACACAAGTGAAAGAGAATAAAAATAGGAATTAATCCTTAGCCTTACCAGCCCAGTGATAGCTCTGCTTTTTTATGTGCAGACTGTGAAGTTCTTAATCTGAACTTCTTCTCCTGGTACGACCCATGGCTGAGGGTGGTGTTGTGTGATGACAATTTTAGGTTTGGATGCACTGTCACAGCATGGCAAACATCAGCTGGCAGTGTCTTATCACTACTAGGATGACTTTGTCACCTGCCAGGCCTCAGAGTAGCTACAATGCTTGTTATTAAAAGATGGATGGGTTCTCCTTCTTCCTTTTCTCTCCTTACCTGGTGGTTATGCAATGGAGAGGTGGCCTCTGGCTCTTGTGCCCCCTGGTCCATGGGCTCAGCGCGGTGCCCTTGCACAGAGGGAGGCCACAGTCAGATGCTCTGTCCCAGTCTCTGTTTCACTGACACCACTGCTGACTACAACACCAACACCATGTGGGTCCCTTGTGCAGTGATAGAACGTTAGTTCTGTTCAATACTGTTCAATAATTCTGTTCTTTATTGAGCATTAGTTCAATATGCTCAGCTCTGGTGGCATCTGTGGAGAGCCACCAGGTCACCTCTGCAACTCATCTGTTCCTTTACCAGAATGTTCCTTCGCCAAAAGCTGTATATTTTTTTTTTCTTAAACAAGCCAAAGGGACTTGTGGTACAGGAAAATACAGATATCAGCATTTTGCAGCATGCAATAAACACAGCGGAGTTTTAACCCTTT